CTGTGCACGCGGGCTGAAAGGCGAGCAGCCGGGCGGGCTGTGGCGCGGCTCGCGTGTCCCCATGGCCAGCAACACGAGTCCGCCCTGCTCAGGTAACTCATGCATTAATTCATGGCGCTGAGCTTTGCAGGACGTCTGCTGCTTGACAGGGGCCTTCCTTAAAGTCCCAGACTAATGGGATTCTCCTAGAAATAGCTCAGTTTTTTAATGTGAATGGAAGGAAGAGATGGGGGAAAAAGGACTGCATAGGGGATGCTTATGTCCTACCTAGCAGGGAAACACTTTCCCCTGACTTTTGCCTGCTTAGGGCTGCAGTAAATGGCCCTTTCGTGTCCTTCCTTTTCGTGCAATGTGGCGGACTATGTTCTGACGCAGGCTGTAATACTTATCCCCACCTTACCCTTTCCTCTTGCTCTCCAGCAGCACAAACACCAGTCTGCATTGGAGCAGGAGGCTCACGCTGCTCCTTATGGTGTGTGCTTTATCAAGTCACAAGAAGCTCAAAGTACACTTGCACTACAGTGCAGAGCTGGTCCCTGTACCAAGAGGTGGCATCAGTTACAGCAGATAAGGTAGTTCTGGAAGCCAGCCCAAGGCTTGGTTTATCGCAGGGGTGTCAAAAGGAAAGTTACCCGGTTACTTTGGCACCCGTTTAACTTATTCTCCGTGTGCTAACAACTTTGGTGGCTCTGCTATCTGCTGTTGGGAACTTAGTTGTGAACGTTTACGCCAGCACGTACAAGCATCTCTGCCTACTCCACTTTGGGGCCAAGATAAATAGTTAAATCTGGGGCTGGATTGCCGCAGCTGAAGGGCTGGCAGGCTTTATGGACGTTATCAGCACAGTTTTCCCATCTGAGAAGCCGAACTGTGGCTTCTATGTTGGGGTGAAAAGGACTGCCCATCCCCTCAGTTCCTCATCCGAACATCGTAAAATCATATGATTACCTCTGGATAGCAGTGGACTTTCTTGCTGTTTGGCAAGAATTTCCATGATTATCAGTGTTCCTTTTTGTTTGTTTGTTTCTTTTTTTCCCTCTTTTTTTTTTTTTTTTCTTTCTGTTTGTTTGTTTTTAATGGACCAGTGTGAGGAGATGTGTATCTTTATGTGAGGAGATATCATACTATCAGAAGGTATTTGAAGGCTTCAATTTTCTTGAAGGTGTCTTCTTTCTGGGGACAGACGATGTTTGATATCTGATCAACATGTATAATTACCTGAGGGGAGTGTGCAAAGAAGATGAGGCCAAAGCCTTCTTGGTGGTGGCCAGTGACAGGACAAGGGGCAATGGGTACAAGGTGAAACCCAGGCAGCTCCATCTCCATGTGAGGAGGAACTTCTTCCCTGTGAGGGTGCCCGAGCCCTGGCACAGGCTGCCCAGGGAGGCAGTGGAGTCTCCTGCTCTGGAGATCTTCCCAGCCCACCTGGATGCCGCCCTGTGCCCCGTGCTCCAGGTGTCCCTGCTGGAGCAGGGGGCTGGACTGGATGAGCTCTAGAGGTCCCTTCCAACCTCAACCATCCTATGAGGAGTAATTTAATGGCACAGATCACTGCTGTGGGGAGATTCCCAGGCCAGCACAGTAGCCGTGTCATCATGGCACTCTGCCCGGATTAATCGGTGTCTCCTCAGGGTTAATTAGCACGGCACATTGTGCCATGCAGATGCAGCCTAGGCAATTTCCTTTAGCAATTAGGAGGCCTGATGCCAGTAAAATGTGCTAGGATTAAGTGTTGTTTTTGGCTCCTTAGTAGCTTTCTGTCCAAAAATACTTAGCATATATCCATTAAGAAGCACTGTCCTTGCCACTACCACTAGGAATAGTACTTCCAAAAAATCACTTTTTTTTTTTTGTCCCAACAAGAGTGTTTTCTGGTGCTATGCAATTGATCTTTAATTGACTTTGAAGTTCGAAGATGTCTGATGCAACATCTGAGACATATCTCAATATGTTATCCAGGCATGTCCTTGCAGCTGAGAGGGCTGGTGTTTTATCAGACCAGCATAATAAATTCCTCTTTAGATAACTGGATCTGGCTGTTATCTGTTAAAGGGAGGTGCATGTGTTGGCGGTATGTGTGGGAGGAGGTGTTGAACAATATTAAAATGGGAGAAGAGGATAAGATGGAATAGTCTTGTTAGAGATCTGTGGAGAACTTGTCAAATGAATACTCACATGGAAGAAGCAGACTTTAAATGGAAAGTTAGCAAGCGTTGCCTCCAGGGATTTAACAAACCCCCGCTACATATCAGTCTTTGTTTAAATGTAAAATATTGCCAAGGTTAAAGCTTCATGTGAAATGACAAGTTTATCAGCAAATTTGCTTCCCTTTGTATATGTAACCTCCCTGCTTAACTCTTTTGTGCTGTGTTTGTTTTTCTGCTTTTCTTTGCTTCCACTTAGCACCCAACTGTGCTAATCACTGAGCTTTTTTTCTTCTTTTTTTTGATCTGGAACTGAATTTAGTTTGTCACTTGCAAGTCTGAAGTAAGGAAGAAATGCAACTTTTTGATACAAGTGCATGTTCAAATTTTATTAGCAATATTCTCCATATGTATAAAATATTTATAAATATACATTTTTAAATTCTTTCTGTCGGAATCATCTACTATTAATGTTTTGAAAAATGGGTGTGCTGTGTAGCTTTCTGTTTTGGTTGGACTTGGACATGTAGGAGTGCGATGATTGCGTATGCACACATGTTATGATTTGTTTGGGCTAAAAAGCAAAAATGATGCATTCTTTTTATTTGTTTACATAAGATAGTGATTTGTGTGATAGGTTCTAGCCCCCCCAAAGACTTTTTATCTTTATTCAGCTCTCTTTGATGAAAAAAATTCTGTCAAAGAAGGTTGTTGATACTTGTTCAGCATGGTTCTTGAGCCACATCCTAGGCCTGGTTATGGTGTTGCTCACTTGCAATGCCATCAAACTCAACACAGTGCAGATTGATCCAACTCCCGCATGGGTATAAATATCATTGTAGTTGAATTCCTCAGTCTACCAGATGAAAAGTTTATGCTCGCAATGGGAGGACAGGCAAAGATGGATTCTTTTGGGATGGAATGAACCATAAAAAAAAACTTGACATGTATTATATGGACACAGTGCTTTTGATGTGGTAGTAGGAGTTTGCGCCTTTGAGCCATGGTCTTTGGTGCATGGTTACTATCCAGATGTCTGATGAGGGCTGAAGTCTTGAAGTGTCAGGTCAATGTTCTTCTGGCAAACTGCTTTTGAACTTTCCGTAAGAATGCAGCAGTTGTGGGAGTTTATATTACCAAGGAATACATGGCTGCAAGGATGTGATTTATGTTTCATCGTCTCCAGTCTCCTAATGCATGGCATAAATGGAGATACTTTAAAGAGTCTTGGAATGTACTCCCATTGAGTTGCAAGGAGGGTGTTTCTAAGATATTGGGGATCATTAATATGCAGTGTAAAAAAAAATCATATTTTACACAAGCATTTGAGTATATTTAGCCATACTGGGGCAGCGCAGGACAGGAAATAGTGGACTTCCTTTTGCTCTGTGCCATTGTAGAGCACCAGAAACTTTTTAAATTCTGGTCCATATCTCTACAGGTGTAACTACTTATCGTTACCAGCAAAGCGACACTTGACGCTTTTAGATTTCTTTTATAATAAATTATGCGGTTTTGACTTATCTTGGTAAATTGTAGGTTCTCCCACTTAGCTTGTGGGATCTCTGTCTGCTCTCTCAGACAGACATATTATTTTTCTTCAAATGTGGATTATTTAACCATGTGAAGTCAGTTCCCATTAGACTGTTTTAGAGATTTATAAGCAGGGTAGGATTAGAAAGCATGTGTTTGTAGCATTGACCTGTAACACTGCTTGAGCACCAGTCTTAACTTATAGTAATCTTTTAGTTTTTGCTCCTTGTTCCTCCTTTGTTTTCCATTAAGTTCACAGCTATGTAGATTTACAGATTGAGTCAATTAATTGTCTTGTGTGCCCATACCAAAGTTTTAGGTAAGACTTAAAACCTGCATGTAAGTGAAAATTGCCTTCAAAACTCTCCTGGATGGCCATGGTAGGTAACTTGAATCCCCTCAATACCTATCGGGTGTCCTAACAACATCTCTGGATAAATCTGCATTGGCATCCATCTAAAACAGGTCTTAAGCATGGCCTCAGGCTTATAGGATGTATCTGCAAGGTGGTTTGAGGCAGGATTTATAGGTGCGAGGACCAGCCTGGGCCTTGGACACTTCTGCCTGTGTGTATTTCTGTATGGGAGCCTGTGATTTGGGAAAAGTGTATTACTTGGAGAAATTAAACATTCCAAGTCATCTGGAATCGAGGAAAACAAAGAAACTAAAAGCATCCATACCTTGGTGAGGGAACATCTTAGGTAACTTCTTGAAGAAGAAAGGAAAAAGAGATGTCTTGCCTACTGCACATTACATTATGTTCAGGTATGAAGCTAACTGCAATTTTGAGTATCTTTTCTCAGTGCGGGTAAGAGTATGTGCAAGCCCATGCAGGATCAGAGCTAAAAGTCCTTTTTCTAGGGAGGTGAGACAAACTGGGTGTCTCTGTGTAGTCTATGAAAAGCTTACATAAATCTTTGATGTCTGTAGACATCCTGGGTTACATGGTACCATTTCTTAGCTCACCTGAGGCTTCCCTTATGTTTCCCAGCCAAAGTCAGTAGCTCAGGTTGCAGTTCCTTAAACATTTACTATTGCATTTCAGTAATTGGCATGGCTGGTGAATCCTGACGTGCCCAAGGCTTTGTTTCTGTGGATACACAAGGACTATTGTTTGAACAAAGAGTATCTAAGCCGAGAAAGCAGTCAAGGGCGACCAAAGTGTTCCAAGTTGTGACCAAAAGATTATTACTCAGCCTGTTTGTGGTTATTGGTAGCTTCATGGTTGGCAGCATGGCTTTACCTGGCATTTGCAGTTCCTAAGCATGTAATGTATTGCCCAATATATCTCATAGGTCATTTATTTCCGTCTCTTTTGTGCAGGATAACTTTGACGTTCCTGAACGTGCTGTCAAATGCTGAAGTGCTGAACTGAAAGCAAGAAGACCAGTACATTTGTTACGATATCTTAGGGTAAGATGTGATTTCTTTTGCTGAAGGGGGACAATAATATGGGAATGATAAACAGTGCTAATAAGAAATCTCTGCTTCTTGTGTTAGACCTGACTGCTGGTGTCTGTGAGTTAGATCAAAATTCATTGGGTTGATCAAGATCAAAGCTGGGGCAATGACGATTAAAGGAAACTCTGAAAGCTAGTGCTTGTTCTAAAGATTTTTTTTTTTTTTTTGCTATCAATTCTTGGACTCAGCCAGGTTTGACAGCTTCTGTTTCAAATGACATTTGGCTGTTTACCACAACCCTCTGAACTCCGCCATCCAGCCAGTTTTTGATCCACCCCACTGTTCAGTCATTTAACCCAAACTTCCTGAACTTCCTTATGAGGATGTTATGGGAGGCAGTGTTGAAAGCCTTGTTGATGTCCAGGTAGACAACATCCACTGCTCGCTCTTCATCCATCCAGCCGCTCATCCCATTATAGAAGGTTGCCTGGTTGGTTAAACATGACTTCCCTGTGGTGAATCCATACACACTACTCCTGATCACCTTCTTTTCCTTCACATGCCTAGAGATGGTCTCCAGGATGAGCTGTTCAGTCCTGTAGAGCAGCTCCTGCCTGCAGGACAGAGCTGGTTCTGCTTTCATCAGGATTTAGCATGGCAGCAACTTCACCAAATGCTGGGGACTGGTTGCCCCTCCACAGTGTTAAAGCGAGAAGACTTGGTCAAGTCTGGCTCATCACTTCTGTATTTCCAGTATTTCTGAATTTTAAGTTGAAACATGGGATTTTCCATCTCCATGTGAGGAGGAACTTCATCCCTGTGAGGGTGCCCGAGCCCTGGCACAGGCTGCCCAGGGAGGCTGTGGAGTCTCCTGCTCTGGAGATCTTCCCAACCCGCCTGGATGTTGCCCTGTGCCCCGTGCTCTGGGTGTCCCTGCTGGAGCAGGGAGTTGAACTAGATGATCCCTGATGTCCCTTCCCACCTCAACCCTTCTGTGATTCTCTCATTCTTGAGGTCACTGGACCAGCTCAGTCAGAATTTCCACCACTCTTTCCCTCCAAAAGTAATCAGTGGGCTTCAGTGGTCCATGAGATCCTTGTATCTGCACATCTGCGAAGGGGATATATTTTTGAGGAAAACATACCTAAGCTCATATAACCAGTGCTCACTGGACTGACATTGAGCAATCCTGAATGCAGAAGGAACATCAGAAGTCTACACCATGACCACAAATGACCTCCTGGTGGTGCTGCCATCCACATTCCAGCCTGTTGCACCTAAACTGACGTGTACTTAATATTATACACTTAAGTGCTGGAGCTGCCATGGTGTTGGGGACTGAGCGAAAACAACCAAATTTGGGACTGAAAACCACCAGTTGTGCCGTCTCAAGTTTAACCAGGGTTGTTGGACCTCAGTTCTTACTGGTGCTGTATATGTTTTTAAGGAGACTTTAGTGTGACATCAAGGTCTATGTAAATAAAAGCATTGTTTTGCTTTTCTGATTTATATCACTTGAGAAGCATTTTTCTTTTAAAAATGTATTAATCTCTGGAGCGCTCTAAATGTAAACAAAAGTGCTCAAAACTATTTTTACCTTTTTTGGTTATTTTGTTGTTAGAACTTGACTAGTTTGTCTCTGGACTTTCTGAGACAGTCAATTTCTAATACAGAAAACATTTTATTTTTCTGCTTCAGATTTTTAATTTTAATAAATTCAGAGTTTCTAGATATTGCATATCTTAAGTATATTATTTCTCTACATGTAAGGTACAAGAGCAACTCATCTTTTCTGTTAAATGCTCTACTTTTTTAAAGGAGGTGCCTGATTCACCAAGAACTGTGGCTTAGCATGCTAATAAAACTCACTTTATGCCTTTAAAATGTTTATTCAAAGTGGCCTGGCTAGCTTACAGTAGCTGTGTGGGTGGACTGTCCTTGAGTTTTGTAGACTTAATTTAGTACTACACAGTACCCAGTGATGGAAAACAGCTATAAATTGTCTGTGCGCAGCCATGCATTATTGATAAAGGATAGAATAAGCTCCACAATTTCTTTATTTGAAGTTGTTAGTGCAACAGCTGGGTGATTTAAGTGGTTTTTTTGTTCTTGGTTTTGTGTTTTTCTTTTCTTCCTCCCCCTGCTGCCCCCCCGGCCCATGTTGGCAGTGAAATATTTGTTCATTTTCAGTTCTGAATTTTGATTTGTGTGAATGTGAAAGCTTTTCTAACACACCAATTCTGACTGAAATGTTTCTGCAGGCTGGAAACAAGTTTAACTTTTGGGAGAGGTAGGCAAGCATAAAATCTGTATGCAGAAGGCAAGGCTCTTTTAATTATCATAAATATTCAGAAATAGAAAATGGAACATAAAGTGTTATATTAAATTAAATAATATATATATGATTTGGCACATTTTTAAAGAAAATACTTCACAGCGACTGCTTTAATTTTAGCACTTCTTCAAAGCTTTAAAAATCTCCACAGTTTTAAATTTGTCAGTTTTTTTTTTTGCTGACATTTATGATGAGTAGAGTCTACAGAACATAATTTGCATATAAAACTGTGCTGTAAACTAAACAGTTCTTTCCCTGTAGTTGAACAAAGGTACAATAAGCTGCTCAACACACTGGAAATTAAAATAAATAAATAAAAAGCCAGGAAAACTATCAAAATAAATAGTTTTCCCCACAAATGTGCAACCTAGAAGAATTTTTTCTGTGCTACAATCTCTGGAATGGGATCTTCTCCCAGATTATTATTCTAATATTGTAAGGGGAATGTACTATTTGTGACAAATAATGTATTGAGTATATAACAATTTAATTCCCTTTTCCTTCTGTGAATGCATAAATATCCTTCATTAGAAGTGTTACAAAACTCTAGCTTTTTTTTTTTTTTTCCTTCCTTTTTTCTTATGGATATTATTTTTGGATAGTAAAGTATGAATGTGCTTGATCTTCATGAGCTCTAGAGACATTTGTAATGTTTTCCTCTTTTCTGTGGGGAATTGCTGTGTATGAATTTAGCTCTATCATTACTGCCTTCTAAGCTAAAGAATGAATTAAAGAATTAACTAATGAAGTTAATTAAGCTGCTTGTGTAGTTTCAAATCTAGAGGCAGTAAAAGTATTGGGGGAGAGGACTAACATATTTGGCAGAGGATTGCTGGAGATTTATATTTGAAGATTACTTGTTTTTCAAAACTGATGAAAATCATGGGGTAAATCGAATACAGTGGCCATTAATGATTAAAATGCTATTAAAATGCTATATAAAGTTATGAATTCTAGCTCATTTTTGTAGTTCTCTGACTCTTTCAGTGCTAATATAAAATAATTTCTCTTAAAGGTGTATTTTGATACTATTTTGATAGCTATTTTGATAACTAAAGAACTAAATTTTGATAACTAAAGAACTATTTTGATAACTAAAGTCATGAGGTTTGGCTGATGCCATTGAGAGCTGCTTGGACAGGAGCAGAAAGTTTCAGACCATCAGATTGGTCTCTGATAATTCACAGAGATTACTGGAAGAGAAGTATTTTCCTGTAGCTTAGATGTCTCAGTGTAATTCAAACATCATAATACTGGAACCTTAAAATTCTGTAATGATTGAAGATGACATCTTTGATTGCATTTAAGAAGAAACATGAACAACTGGGTATCTAACACCCCTGTAAAACACTTCCTGATTTTTTTTTTCTCTCCAATATGAAGCTGTGGTAAGTTCTTATGTGGCAGAACAGGCTTCAGTCATTGTGAGTTTAAAATTTTATTCCAATACAGAAATTTCTAGAGAGTGGAAAATGCTTCTGATGGTGTGGTTTTTTTCTCTGAAACACAAATATTTTGGCAGTGGAGCATAATTTGCAAGTTCCTGGTGTTTAAGACAGCTGCTTTCTGTGGTGTTTCTAGGCATTATTGTAAAGAGATTATAAGAGAAGGAAACACCACAAGATACAAGACGCGTGTGTGGTCGCTCCCATCCCTACCCAGGTGCAACACCAAGCGCCTTGACAGTGACAAGCCCCAACCTGTGCTCTTGTAAGGGGAGGAAATCTTCTCTTCTTGCCATTCCCGCTGCTCTGAGTACAAAAAGACATAAAAAACTTGTTTGGGTGGGACAAATTTCAGCCGCATCTTTCAGGTTTGGTCAGTTGCAAGATCCTCCCGGTGCCTCCCTGTTGAGATCTGTAGCCTGTTGCCACCTGACAAGCTGAAGCTTTGGGTGGGATTAGTGCTGATTAAGAAACCTACTTCCTTTCCTATCTGTTCTCCTCCTTGGCTGAAGGATGTGTATTTTGTTAGCAAGACCTAAGTGCATCACAAAGGACAAACTTTTAATTATCTTCTCTCTTTTTTTTTTTTGTTACACCTTGTTTACATTCCCTAATTTAAAAGGGATTTGAATGATACTTAATTACATGTTAATTTCAGTGAATTACCACGATGATAGTGCTGTTACCTTCTCAGAGGGCTCCTTGGTGACAGAAATTGATGAGATCATTTAACAGACTGACTACATACTGAGGCCCTCCCTATTTGTCAGCTGGGAGGGTAATGATTTGATTTTCCCTTCAAAACTTGCTTCAAGTATTCCTAACCATGGTGTTCCTAACCATGATAACTCATGGAGTTTTGTCCTCATGAAGGATGCAGAAGACCAATTCAATTCATAATCCTCTTCTCCAAGAGCCACTTTTTTGGCTGCTCTTCCACAGTTTCTCTGCAATGTGGTGTACCAAGACATGCTGCCCATATATACCAATATATGTATAAAATATACATATATTTGGCTCTGGGGGCTTTCCTGGGCTTTCCTCCCATTTTCTCTTCAACACTGGATGTGCTGGGGTGTCAGTTCCACATCATGTGGACAGGGATAAGTTGTATGGGAGATAAAAACACGTGGTTACAAATGGCAGAGAAGTTGCTGGATGATCCGTGTTCCTTGGGCAGAATGGTGGTGCCTCCTGCTAATTACTAAATAATTGAAATAGCAGTTTGCTAT